TGGGAGCAGGCAGTGTTTTGCTCTGCTGTGCATGGGGTTGCTATGAGTCGGAGGCGACTGAGTTTCTGCTCCGACCCTAACCTTTGCTGTTGTTGTTGGGTGTCGGGTGGATTCCAACTCGTAGCATTCACATGTGGCGGGGTGGAAGTTGCCCTGCAGGGTTTCCTAGGCTGTAATGTTTACAAGAGCAGACGGCCGGGTCCCTCCCCGGGGGAGCCGCTGGGCGCTCCAACGGCTGGTCTCTGGTGAGCAGCCCAGCTCTTAACCACTGCACCACCACACCGGGAAAATGAAACGCACCACCGTCGGGTTGACTGTGACTCACAGCAACTCCACAGCACGGAGCGGAGCTGCCATGGGGCTTCCGAGGCTACCCCTCCACGGGAGCCAAGCACCGGTCCTTCTCATGGGCAGCTGCTGGGTTTGAACCGCCGACCTTCTGGCTGGCAGCTGATCACTTAACCACTGAGCTCCTTACCTCTCACTCCGGTCCCGCCCCAAGCCCCCCGCCGGCCCCCCGCCCCGAGCCCCCAGCACCCACCTGTAGCTTTGTGTGTATTTCCTCAGGCATCTCCTCCCCGTACGTCTTCAGCAGCTCAATGGTTTGCTTCAGGGGCTCGAACATGGTGTCGGTGGCCACCTGGCGCTCCTTGACCTTCATCAGGTGCCCCATGACCTCCACCAGCCCATCGTAGTCCCCCTCCTTGAGCGCCATGCTCAGGCCTGTCCGGGCGACTTTCATGAAGTTCTCCAGGTCAGCAAGGCTGCAAGACGAGGAAACGCCTGGGCTTGGTTCCCTTAGAACTCTCTGGAGGGCTGCCTGGGGCTCGGGCTCCTGAGAACTCCCTGGAGGGGCTGCTGAAGGCCCAGGGAGGTGCTAGGGCCACCAAGGTGAGGCTCTTGTCCGCTCAGGCCTTCTCGCCTGCTGCACCGTCACCCACTCGCACCACCTTAATCCGGGCCTTGCCTTCCTCATGGTCTGCTGACAGGACTCGGCTCACATGCTCATCTGCGCTTCATGCCCACCAGCTGAAACCCAAACCCAGCTCATGGTGGCCCGGAGAACTGCTCCATGGGGCTGTCCTCGTCGGGGGGCAGGTCACCAGGCCTTTTCTCTGCCCTACCACTGGGTGGATTTGCGTCACCAACCTTCAGTTTGGTCAGCAAACACAAACCCAGGGACCTTGGTGGCCTTTTGTCGCTTGTCCTCTGGTGCCAGACATCATAAACAGGTGTGGTCAAGCCACTGGAGCGTTTGCCTGCACCGGCACTGCCTTCCTGCAGGCCCTGGCGGGCTGCTGGCTGCTAAGCCTGACCTCAGAGCCCCTGTGCCTGCCTGGGAGGTGCCCCCACAGTCAGTCACCCCTGACTCTGCGTGGACGGCCACCAACGGGAGTCCTGACCCACCTTCTTGTTCTCCCGAGTGTGGCTTGGCTCCAGGCCATGTGGGGGTGCAGGATGCAGGGACGTGGGGTGCAGGGTGTGGAGGTGTTGGGATGCTGAAGTGTGGGATGTGGGGAGCAGGGGTATAGGGGTGTGAGGTGCAGGGTACAGGGTATGAGGGTACAGGGTGTGAGGTGTGGGGTACAGGGAGTGTGGTATGCAAATGCAGGAGTCCAGAATGCAAGGGTATGGGGTTCAGGCTGCAGGGAGCAGGGGTTGTGGGGCTATGGGGTTTGGGCTGGGGGTACAGGGTGTGGGGGAATGGGATGAAGGGTATGGGGGTGAAGCGTGAT